ATTTCCCATTTTTTGGGGCCTTGTTTATTCTGTTATCTTACTACTACTGACCAAGAAATGGCATTTCAGTCAGACAGACAGACAAATAAATATATGTGCATCATCATCGTGGACATGTTTTTAGATAAGGAAAATGCCACGGTATTTACTTATCTGAGCGATGACATCCATCTCTTTCTCTTTAATTGTGATACCTCTGGTGTAAAAAGTAGTTGTGCAATAAATACCTGCGGCACTTTATGACAACGAAAAAGTGCAATTATTCTCCTTTTTAAGAGGTTAATAGTTAATTGTGCGATACGAAATGCATCGATCTATGTATGTTTTTTGTTTGCAACCTGTTTTGGCTTTTTACTTATCGGAACAACAAACAAATCCAAGTTTAAAAAGGTTACTTTTTGACTAGACATGGGATTCGACTTGTTCCGCACAGCACTTGACGGATTTTTGTAATATGTTAATTATTGTGTCTGTAAATCACAGGAGTTCAAAAATGGACGGAGGGAGGATGACCCGACGACACACAAATGTAAAATGTAGGCACTTACATAATTTGTTTGTTTTCAAAAATCAGGAAAATTGTGGGTTTGCTTGATCCAACAATTATTTGTTGACATCTTTTACCTCAAACTGACCGTGATAAATATTTCAGCCTTTTTAATGAAATACGTGACCATTAATTAATCTAATTAATCGTCATTCTGTAATAATCTCAATTTCCTATAACGATTCAAACTAAACCGCATTCCAGTCCAAGAAGTTCCTATTAAAAGAAAAAACCGAACGTATACAGCGTTACCTCAAAGAATTTGGACATATTTTTCAGTAGTTGAATCCCCTGATCTTCGAGTTGCATCGTAATTTGAGTTTTGAAGCTAACTTGGATCATATCATCACGAAACTACGATAAAGGTAAACTACTAAAAGATGAAGTTAAGGTCTTGGCTTGGCTACCATCCACCACTTTCGTATATGATAAAAAAACTACTGACTGATCTTTTGTCACGACAGGACACGCCAACTTGAAGGGTGGTGGTTGGTGGTGGTTTCTAGCCTGGTGGGTTATTTGATAGTTGGTTAGTGTCATGAATTTATATGGTCGACAATGAAGATAAGTTTCTTGATTCCTCTACAGTTTCCAATCCAAAAAAGCCTTTATTGAGGGGCCGAAAGAAATCCGTGTCAGACGAGATTCAACAACTTTTCACAAACTTTTACGTAATCTCACATATTGGGGATTGACGGAGAGAGAAGCGTTAAAGTTATGACGGATTTTTGAAGAGATTTTTATAGTATTCAAATCACACGAATTTTGTAACAAGACAAAAACTCTTAAAAAATAGGCATCGTGATAATATGACGAATCATCCCAGCATGTTGACTCATTCACAATCTTTTACATTATTCAGAAAAATGCAGCCCTACAATTTTTCCTGAGCGTTGCCAGAATTAGAGAATTCGTAATGATACATACAAGTTGCAATTTTTTATTCACGGTGAAGTTGAAGTTGAACGAATAATAAGGCACAAAAAGTGCTACAGACCAACCATATAGTTACATACAAACCATTAAATGATGATGGCATTACTGGCATTGCACGCATGCAGCCTGGACTGCTGCTTTGTGATGATACTATTTACCAAGTTGGTAGTGTTGTTTAGTGCGGTGATCTATCTTTTTGTACAGCGTCGTCGTCTCTTTCTCTCCTTCTTCAAGTACAAGTAAGGTAAAATAAAACGATAATGACACCGAGACGGAGAGACGGCCTGACCAAGTATCTAGTGTGCTGTAGCTCCTCCGAAATCATCAAGATGTTTGGAAAGACTTCCCGACAAAAGCGTAGATTACAGCATAATAACATTACCGTATTCAGTATTCAGCGGACCAAACCAAACCACTAACAACGCGGTGATAAAGGATGATATGTTTTGATGAGATGAAAAAATTACAATTTACAAAGTACGAACATATCCACATTCAAATATCTTTTCCACGTCCACGTCCACGTCCACCTTCTTCGTCTTCCAGGTGAGGTGAGTGCGCTGAAATTCGTATGCATTATATCCTTACCAGGATTCCATCCAAGCATTATCAACTTGGTTTGGTTTGGTTGTTGAAAGCTGGTACAAGAAAATGCTTGATGATAATAATGGTCTCTTGGTGATGATATAGCGGGACATTACTTACATGCAAATCAACACCTTACTTTTTACCTGCAGATTGGGATGAGAGATGCAATAGGTACAAAAATATTATTATTATATGCACAATCACTAAATGCCACTATCAGCAGACACCTTCTTCTCCTCGCCCTTCAAAATTATTTGAACTTGGAAGCGTTCTCTCGCAACCTCATCAAGTGTAAATAGTAATTTTCTTCCCTTTTGAACAACAATTTAAAGCCTTGCAAGCCAAACCACGCCTCTTTGCCCGACTAAATTTTATTGCTAAAATTACAAATTGCAAATTAAAAATTGACTCGCCCCTTTAGATTCTTGCAGGTATTTGCCTTTAGTTTTGCATATAAAACACGAGTTAATCAGGCAAGATGTTCTTTTGCTGGTTGGCATGAAGAGTGGGAGTTGAGGAGAAGAAGCATCATCATAATTTCCACTGAATTATCATAAAACTCGTCAACAAAATGCTTTGCCAGAGTTGATCATGCCGCTGCTGCAGTCAGGTCCGTGATCCCAACGTATGGATTGAGTTGATCGGTGGTAAATGTGACGATAAAAGTTAATTTAATAGCTTATTGCATATTATCTTTAGAAAATTAAAGTTTATGTCTGGTTCAACCAGTCAACTAGTGTGGACCTACTCAGGCAAATGTGAATATGCATGCATCGACCTTATTGAATAAGTTAGGAAATATCAATCCAGAATTTAATTGATACAATCTGGAAACGATTTGTGAGCTGGTGGGAGTGCACGCAAAATGCGTTTTGACAGGATTGACGAGCATTTCGCATCTAAAACCATTTGCATCTAAATGTCATATTACGTGTCGCACAAAAGTTGCGTATGCCATTTCTCCGGTATGATGTGCGTATGTATAATGTAACCAGTACCAAAACCATATCAAAAAGTACCAAGAGGAGTGGTCCAATCGTAATGGAATGAAGATGTGGTACGATTATTATTAAAATTACGACGACATGAATGTCTCTTCTCAAGTGCAAATATATTTTACAACTTCAAAACAACCCGAGTTGAATATTCTTATAAATGTAAATCATAACACGAGAAAGAAATGGTGTTGCATTTTAATACTTGTGAACCGACGACTTATTCATAATACTCCCCTTTCCCTTTCAAACCAAAAGCAGTTTAGATTTTTAACAAAGATTTCCTTCCCCGAATTTTGGTTAGCTTTGGTTAAAAAGTAGTCGTAAAGTTAACTGCATTACACACTTGAAAGGGGGGAATTGTCTATGAAACCAGTATCCAGCCTGTGATATGCGAAGGGTTGTAGGTGAGAGGTACTTACATACTTTGAGGTAAAAAAAATATATAAATATCGTTCAAAGTCCTTGCTTTTATTGTGTAAAATGGTGTAATTGTGAAACTTTGTGCTAAGTGAAACAAGTTGCTGATGACTTTTTTTGCTTACCACAGCGAGCATTCTCATATGTACATACATACATTTGTGTACAGCAGAAGTATATATGTAATATGTATTTACAAGTTTAAAGCGTACGTATTTGTTTCCCGAGGTTTTGCTTTTATAGGATTTCACGTTAAGGAGATTCCATATAACAGAAGAATTTGATGGTGAATCGCCTACCCACCACTTCAACTTCACTAACAACAAATGAGCAGCGAGGATGAGCATGAGCATTAAGTGGATGAAAAGTGTTAAATAAAAAAGAAAAACCTGATTCATCTCATCAAAGTTTCAAACCAACGAAGGAACAACCCATCACGGATTCAAAACTTGAAGATTTTTAGACAAGGCATCATACACATACATGAATTTTTTTTAAATGTGAGGACGAATGCCTTGTTCCCTTACGTAGCTTGCGGTCAGCAAAAGTGGGAGAAACGATCGGATTGATTGGAGTGACTGCTGACGGCTGACGAGTTTTTATTTTCATACGTATTCATACAGCGTTCCTCCCAAGAACTGGAAGGATGTTGGAAAAAACAAGTGCCAAAAAGTTGACGACTTTAAATTCGCGAGAAAATTTGTCTTAAAATGGCGACACAGTCAGTCAACTCAACTGTTAGTTTTCATAATTCTTTCAGCATACTAAATAAATTTCGCAGAAAATCAAACTTTATGTATTCATCTTTTTAAAAAATCGTGTTTTTTACTGTAAAAATCCACACAAATTCGGCACATGAACTTGGCAAGAATTTTAATGTTGGTTACTTTATTCTCTTCGTGAATCCGATCAGTCGATTATGTATTTTCTTTGGTTGATTTGTTCAAGAAGAAGAAAACTTTTGTGGTTTTGTGTTAGCTTGATGAAGGAAGAATTTAAGACAAAGATAGATAATCACAGACACACACCACCACTCCCGTATTTTCCAACAACAACAATTTAAACCCGTGATGATGAGATTGAGGAGCAGAGCGAAGGAAAACTATTTTGCATAATGGGATATCATCTCAATGTTTTTCCATACTAATGATGTTATTGCTCATAACAAGGAAGAGTGCATCATGATGGGTTGGGGAGAAAGAAAGTATATTTTTAAACGGAGACAATGTCAGGAAGGAAGGATGATAAATATTTTTGTGGAGAGGAAACTGGGTCAAGATTAGGACGAACTTTTGCCTAAACGAGAGTGAAAGTGGACTTGAAGGTCTGTTTGTGTTTTTCAACAAGTGACCTTCCTTTCTCCCCTATCATAGTGGAAATACCTGACAGAAGTCATGTACAATTTGTAGGACAGGGGATATTATTGTTATCAATAGATTACCGTTTATTACTTATTCATCAATTTATTTATTTATTATCATTACACGTCTCACGTTACATTAATTTCTAAGAAATTAATTTTTAATTTCATTAATGATGAAAAATGGGAGGTCTGCCCCACACAGAAACCCAGCCTTAGGGGTAGCCTTCCTTCCACTTTTCGAGAAATCGAATAATTGAGCAGTCTTACACAAGACGGATGCCTGCTTCGCCAGTCCAGTTCGTAGGGGCTCTATTTTCTTATTGATTGACATCTGCTGCATCCCACCAAACGGCAGCTTCTGACGCTCATCCTGAAATTTCTGAGAAATATAAACAATCATTTCATTACAATGTTTTAGGGTACTAATTTCTGAGAAATACATGAAACACTCACGATTAAGAAAGCTTCCAATTCCCTCATGTACACTTCTGCCTGTGCAATCATAGCTCGCAATTTATCACCAGAAGCAGTCTTCATTCCTAAGGGATTACAGTTGAAGAGGAAGGAGTTGAAGGCTCGAGTTCCTGGAGTCTGAAGGAATTGATAGATGGCGGAATTTTCATCCCATTTGTGGCCGGGACGAGATTTTTGTCCATTTGAATGAAGCCCAATGTACGTAAACATCTTTTTCTTCTTGTCACTAGATTTCTGAGAAATAATTTGCTCAGCTTCTGGAATACTTTTTCCTTGCAGCTCCGGCCAGTCGAAAAGTGTGTTAACGTAAACACAATAATCCTTATTTCTCAGAAATTTTTCCGAAACGAATTGGGGGAATTTTTGAAGGAGTTTGGTGAGGGGGAGATGTCGCAGATAATCCACGAAGTCGCTGTGAACAACAATAAACACAATCAAAACCAACCAAGATTCTAATTTCTAAGAAATGAATAAATCACTCACATCCCTAATTTCTCCTCCTTGAGAAACTCACTCTGCCCCAGCCACTTCAGTAATGCCGAATCCGGGGTGAAGTCCAGTTTCCTGCATGCATCAGTCAATCCAGCCAACTTCTTCTTCTCCCACTGTTCGTTACTTTTTTGTTTGTGATAATTTCTGAAAGTGAAAGTATATTAATTTTCACAGAGTTAATTTCTAAGAAATAATGACTATTTACCTATACTCCTCATCTTCCTGGTAGCGAGTTTTCTGTCGCTCCAAAAGTTGTGTTCTGTAAAGAGCAAACATATTGTTCTATTAATTTCGGCGAAATGCATTAATTTCTAAGAAATAATGACTATTTACCGATGATCCTCATCTTCCTGGTAGCGAGTTTTCTGTCGCTCCAAAAGTTGTGTTCTGTAAAGAGCAAACATATTGTTCTATTAATTTCGGCGAAATGCATTAATTTCTAAGAAATAATGACTATTTACCGATGATCCTCATCTTCCTGGTAGCGAGTTTTCTTTCGCTTTTTATCTCGCTCCAACTTTTTTGTTCTGTAAAGAACACACATATTTCTGTGTTAGGTTCGACGAAATGCATTAACTTCTAAGAAATAATGACTATTTACCTATACTCATGATCTTCAAGGTAGCGAGTCGTATTTTTTTTTATTCTCTTCCGCTCTGAACAAAATTTCATCATTGTTTTGCATCGATACTTCATCAATTACCGAGAAATATTAAAATTTACCGGAAGTTGGGATTCAGGCGCCTCAACGCCTTTCTTTCTCTGTCTTTTCTCCTTTTGCGATCCACCGGCGATTCTCCAGGCCTTTGTGGGGATCTCTCTCTCTTCTTATTCGAATCTCTGAGAGATGAAGACTCAACGAAAGGTACGGCGTCCGTAGCGGCCACATTCGCTGAACCTGCTGCAGTTGCAGGAATCACCTTCGAGGAACGACTGGCGACGAGTTTCACCCTACATATTACGACACTACGTGATTAAAGTGCTTATTTCTAAGAAATTACTTGACCCCAAATTAGAGAAACCTTACCGTTGAGGAAAACATTCCTCAGGAATAATCATAACATCCTCTTCTTCTTCAGACGACGACGACGACGACGACATTTTCCTGGAATTTTAGTACAAAACCACCCGAATTCAACTCAATTAGCGAACCACATTTTAATACAAGTTATAATTTCTGAGAAATAAATAAAACGCACCGTATCAATCGATAACTTCTTATTTTTTGATGTTTGAGTGATGGGACGAGTTGTTGACGTTTTGATGTGGTTTCGAGAAGGATGAACCACGCACACACAACACCCAAGTCCTCTCCATTCATCAAATGTCTCAAATTCCCCTCAACCGCCAAATTCAAACACATCAACAACAAGTTCTAGAGATTTCGCTGTTGTGTTTCTGATCTTTCTGAAAACAATTAAATTTCTCATTGAAAATGGCTGCGGCACTTATAGGAGGCGTTGCTTTCGAAGATTACGTAAGTATTCTATCTCTGAGAGATCATTATGACTAATCATTCATTAATTACTTCAATCTGTGTTTGTTCTTTTACAGTCAAAATTGATTAACTTTTGGTTGGGTCCCTTCCCTCGTCCTTTTTTGCGTCCTGGACTCTTCACATCTCTTAGAGATTTTCTTGTGAACGTGGGAATGAAGGTGGAGGAAAAGAATGCGATTCGGGCGATTTTCCAATCCGCAGCAAAGGCCGGATCCGCCCATGTTCCTCTCGCTTTTGCAACAGTGGATGATTTTCCTGAAGAGATTTATGTACATTACGCTCAAACTAATTATTGTAATTGTAACTCATCAATGTACTGTCATGTTTTTATTTCTTAGAAATCAATTGTAGCATGGATGAAAGGGCAGGAGGAGGAGGCAAGGGCTGGTTTTTTTCGCCAACTTTTTTTGGACCTTCGGGTAACGGAGAAAGAGGTGGACGCGTTCCGTAATCGGATCACGCAGGCCGACCAAAAACTGCGACCCTTGGTCAAGGTCCTCAAGAACGGGGGACGAAATCTCCGGAAGGGTCTATTGACCACGGCACAGGCAGTGCAATTCATTGGGAAATTGCCGGACTGGTCGAAGGACAAGCCTTTTTTTTAAATTTGCAGTAAATTTATCACAATTTCTTAGAAATAATTTAGGAATTTTTATTATTTTAGAGTGTACATTTATTGCCTCATTTCTTCTAGCTGAAATACATGCAGGATCATAATCTCTCAGAGATGGACACGGACCTACTTCGACAAAGTTTTGAAGAGCTTCAAACCCTTCCTGGACCTTTATGCCCTTCTTCGTATTGACCATGCCCAACATAACATTATTTACAATTTTACCCGAAATCGTATAAATAAAAACCATCAATTCTATTTAATGACTACTTCGAGTTGTTGATGGCGTCGGCGGAATTAATGCGGAATTATCGACAGACTCTCGTAAATCTCGTCGTGTTGAGGAGATAATAGCAAGTTTAGGTTCGGCTAAATATGCCAAATGCAACGGGGTCGCTATAAGTGCGAGGGTATATTGAAACAATAATTTTCTATGAATATATGCATGTAAAATCATTCCAATCCTTGCAACTATAAGCACTTTGACTTAATAGCGTAAACTAGTGTTCAATTAGTTTTATGGTGATTGGGTATATTTCTTCATTTTCTTCGAGAAAATTGTTACGTCGAGGGGAGAGAATTAAGAATATTGAAATTTTGTGTCTTGTATAACAAGACATGCGTTATGGCATGAACTTGTTTTAGCGTGTAAGGTTTTCCATATCAGTAAAAGAAATCAATTGATACTGCATGAACTAAATACGTAGAATCCGTTTCTGTCAAAAAGTTCCCCCCTTTTTTCGTCTTGGAAAATCCGAATTAAGCAAAAACGGTAGTAGAATCGCTTACTTCTTGGTATATGCGAAAGGCAACCTTTTATTTCAATTTTATTTCAATTGAAAGTAACTTTTCGAGAAACAAAGGGACGTTTATGTTCTAGTTTAATATAATTTATTGTTATTTGTATCCCATTGCATCCCCTCCTCCTCCTCCGCCAAAGTTTCCGAGTTTTCTCTCTCGTCTTCTTCAAAAAGTCCAATCTGACAAGGCCAACTCGTATTTCTTGGAGTCGTCTTTTGCCTCGTTCAATCTGCTTCTTTGTCCTGAGAATCATCACACTCGACGACTCTTTGACTTGAAATTTAAAAGCAGTCAGACATAAGAACGTAACGTAACATAAGCTGGATTCTAGGAACACACCGCTTCTTCTTGTTTCCAGAAGAATGCTAATTTATTTTCTACTGCATTTTCCGTCTGGAGAAATGCTTAAATACATTCACAATATTTATTTATTTATTTATTCTTCTTCTTTCAGCCTGTTCCATTCCATTATGATTAAAGATTTGCATGAGAAATTTCAAGTGGAAAAGAAAATAAAAATTAAGACTTTCTTTCCGTAATATTTACCGTTTTTTGGTTACGAAATTTTATAAAAATATTTTGACAGGGATAATTTTTCTACGGAATAAATGTACCTTGCTTTTTTTTATCTGCGTAAGGAATGCATGCATGATCAATTGAGAAATGCAAACACTTTTCTTGCTGGTATTAAAACTTGCAACTAGTTTCACAGTTTGCTGCACTACTTGTTTTTACCCTGGTTTTGAATCCAACCAACCCCAGTTAATTACACTTTTTACTTTCTTTATTCCTTCTTGATGGTGGATGGTGGAAGTGGCGATTGCATTATTATTTTACCTCCAAAGTTATGTAATCCTACGTACGAATAAGTAGGAGGGCAGTGGTGTATTTATTTATTGTATGCGTGTCATGTTCTTCAACACTCGTACATTTTGTTTTGTGGTCGGTTGTGCCATTACGTAGTGGGTAAAAAGGTAATAAGAAACAAGTTAAGAAATTGTAGAGCATACACACGTACGAACAAATTGCATGGTGGTGTTGATGTTGACTCTCAATTCTTCATTTTAGCCTAAATTACGCTCCAGGTAAGAATTATTATTAATGTTTATGGAGAGGAGCGTTGCTGCATCGATATCAGAGTGACTGGATCAATTTGAATGTTTGAGGAGTGGTTTGGACGTTGTTGTTGGTGGTGAGTTGAATTTGTTAACGAGGCCAAACATCGAAACATCTCATCAACTAGCCACTAGTTTGTCCAGTTTTATCCGAAAGTCGTGCATGAAGACGATACATATTTGTCTGTGGTGAATAACGAGTAATAAATATTGTGCAATAGAGGCGGACTTGATTTCGAAAATTTTAAAGAGCTCAGAAAACGAGATAGATAGACCAGAAATTGCCAGCTTATTATAATCCCATCGACGTACGTACAGTCCACGAAATATTGGCCGTTACCTAATCATTTAGTAATTAAAAGCGGTGACATGTGATTGGAAGCAATAATTCCACACTGCATCGACTGATTTGACGACTGGGAGAATAAAACAATGCCATTATCTCTGCAATGACACGTCTTTACAGAGTTAACAGACAGTTGACCGTAAGGGCTAAATTCTTGAAATTCTAGCAAACAGGCTGTGTCTTCCTCCATTGTAAAGTGGCTTCTTTTCAAACATTAGCATTTTCAATCATCGCCTTTTAAACACCTCGAGAAGAAATAGGGAAGAAGATTATATATTTGCGTCCACATCCACCTGCTCTGTAAATCGACCAACGATGGAATAAAATGACTCAGGAGGACAACCCTTCACCGACAGAATCACCGATTTCGATGCCCTTTGGATATGTTGTAGCACTAGGTGAGTTGAGCAAAAGTGAAGAAGGATTTCATTCCATGGCCCCATTTGCGCCCGCCACACCCACTCAAAGAGGAATCCCATGCCAAACTGGTCGCATTAAAAAATTCACCAAAAATCCATTTTTAATGATAATTTGATAATTTTTGCACCTTTTTGATCCCAGATAGTTGTTTGATCGTATCCGACATGAATTTCAATTTTTTGAATTTTTTGAATATTTTCGAAAATTTCGTGGATTTCGAAAAAATCAAAATTTCAAAAAAGTTGAGTTTGCTATTGGATATGATAAAGCAACTATCTAAGGTCACAAAAATGCTTAAATTGTGAAAATCCGACCAAAATTGGATTTTTGGTGATTTTTTTAATGAACCAAAGCAGGGTATTTTTGCACCTTTGAGTGGGTGTGGCGGGCGCAAATGGGGCCATGGAATGAAATCCTGCTTCACTTTTGCTAGACTCACCTAGGACTACAACATATCCAAAGGGCATCAAGATCGGTCATTCTGTCGGTGAAGGGTTGTCCTCCTCAGCTCGACTCTAAATGGATGGCCGTAGCATTATGGCTCATGTCTTGTCACTGTCATTGCCTAATGAATATGATTCCTTAGAGGAATTTGTGATGCCGAGGGTGACTTTTTCTTAGTCGAATAGATGCCCAACACTTATTGTGGATAATTGATAGATACACCAACACCTTACTTTTAAAGCAGGGCCAAAACATAAAAATGGGATTTTTAAATACTTTGTACTTATTCATTACATTGTGAACAAGACTTCATATGTACATACGTAAATGCATATATTTTACATGTATGCATGCATTAGTTGGAGAAGATGGTGTGATACAAGAGCTCATTACCCGGAGGCCTACATTCCTTATCGAATCATTTCCTTATCCATCCATCCATCTTGGTGTTAATGAGAAGACAATTCAAGAGTTAAACGCTCTGCTCAGCAAGTTGCTGATTCGGTGCATATGTAGAATTGTATACCATAAGCTGCGTAGGAATATTGTCTGTTCGATGAGCATTATAATTTCCAAACGGATAAAACAAAGGAAGAGAGGATTTCAATTGAATTAAGCCTTAGTTTTTAGCCACCCTGCCCACCGGGTTGATTTTGGCTTGGCTGGCGTGGTCTGTTGTCCAGCTTAAGGAAGGAGGAAGAAGCGCGGGGGACGACAAATCTCTTCATTGCGTAACATTTCCTTATTTGACAGCGACGCGAGTGCGACAGACCGGTTTAGGATATCAAAGGAGTTATGCCGAGGTGTCATTAAATTTCAATTACAACCCTTTCAAAAAGTAAAAGGAAGGTTGCCTGTCTCCCTAATTGAAGGTGGTGGTGCGACATTCGGACTTGACTTTGAAGTCCGACCCATCATAGTCACCAATCCATACGAGTTACATAATAATAAAAAAGTTGAATTTTACAATTATTATTTAAATGAATCAGCTTTTCACCCGAATCATCAAATCCAAGTGGTAGTGGTGATGTCCGTATGGATTGGATTGACTTCTTTTGTCTTGCGAAAGAGCGTGTCGGCTTCGCTTTGAAATTTTTAGTAGGAATGAAATACAGAATCTTTTTTAATTCGGAAGAAGGTTACTGTATGGTTAAATTGTTGCAGGTACAGGTACAGATAGGATTCTTATCTTTCAAGACAGGACAACACTACGTAATGTGTATGCAATCGTTTATAAAAGCGATCTCACTCACTGCCTCTTTATACCAACCAAATTGTATGATTTCAATATAAAAGCTGCCGAAATATGGTTGTGCATGGAGAAGGAAGGAACACAACAATGAACAATAGTTCACGACACGTGTGCTATACATGCATTTAGAAAAGTGAAGAGTGAAGTTCGTAGTAAAAGAAGGAGCTCGTCGAACCATTATGCAGACAGCTTTCTATTACTTGCTACTTATGCATGCATCTCCTAATAGAAGTTGATTTTAATCCCAGTTTTTTTTGCTAGTGAGTCTCGATGAAATTAAATCTTTATAATTATAAGCGGGGGATTAGATGGGTGGATTTTATTGGATTTGGCTTATTGCACATTGTTCCCCGCTTATAAGTCGCATTGACGGACGGACTGGACGACGAGGAGGAAGGATGATTACATATTCGATTTTCATTTTGATGATGGGAGGAGGAGGAGGATCGATCAGAAGAGAGGTTTCTGTGAGACGAGTGACGACTGTGATTTCCAGTTCAGCAGGACTTACACCTTTTCATCTTCTTCTTCACCCCCCTCGCTTTCTTTATATGGATGGGAAGGTAGCAGCTCGTTTGATGAAGAATGGATGCATTTTACTCAAGTGTCAAAATTGGATATCAAATGAAAAATCAGCAGTCTGATTCTCCTTCCTACTTTTCGGCCCTATCTCAATTTACATCTTGACATTGAATATTGAATTTGATTTCATACCCCGAGAGAGTCAGCAGATCCTTACCTGGATTTTATTGAAATGCATTGATTTATTTGAAAAGGGGTATGATTCATGGAGGGTTAGAAAATATTGTGCATTTGGTCAGGAATTTTGGAGAATAATATTTCAAGTAATAATTGACTATGCGCAGAAAAAGTTAGGCCACCATTTCATTA